AAGTGCTTTAGCCACTATGCTAGGAGAGCCTTAGTATTAGTATTTGAAAATCTACTTGTATATATAATCAGAGTATTTAAGACCTCGTATGAGGAGATTCCATTTTCTGTACTTTTCTCAGACTACATGTAAGTCGTGCTATTGCAAATAGCAGTGTCTTCTGCTGTACCCTAGGTCATGCAAAGGGTTGATGCTTGTAACTGCTGACTGAAATGTCAGTGGTAAAGTCCACTCAGAGGCACCTAGAAGAAAGGACTGGTGATCTATTTCTGAAGATCAGTCACTGAAAACCCTAAGGAGCACAGTTCTACTGTGACACATGTGGGGTCACCATAAGTTGAAGCTGATTTGACAGCAACTGGGTTTTTAATTGCTGGCTCAGAATTTCCCTTTTCTCCTCCAACCCTCAGTAGAGGGATTGTTTAGGAAGTCACACAGTGACCAGTATTTCATTCCATCTTACAGTTAGACCTGATTAATACTTATAACTTATTGTTCATTTAATCTTTATCCTAAAAGTGGAAGCAGAGGACCAAAGTGTTCATTTCTGTAGAGACTATGACAAAAGTAAGATTTTTCCTTACCTAAATTCTTCAAGAGACACAGAGGGAGAATTATGCCAAAGGTGACTATTACCACCAGAACGCGGCCATCAACATACCAGTCCCTGAAAGCATTTAAATAGTTAGGTCATATTTTCTCAGAAAGTGACATTTTTTTCCTCATATTTAAAATTTCATGATACAATTTAATTAATTTCTACTCTTATTCCTTTTTACCATTAATATTTTTAACTATCATTCAGGTTTTATCCAAACACTTTAACCCAACCACAACTCATTTTACTATTGCCTCATTCCCTATGTGATAGAAGTAGGTACATATGTTACGGATTCCCCTTCCCTACTGGCTAAATGAGGAGCTCTGGTGGTATAGTGCCTAAGGCATCTGACTGCTAACCAGAAGGCTGGTGGTTCAAACTCATCAGCCACTCCTCCGAAGGAAGGTTGGGCAATCTACTTCTGGAGTGATATTGTTGTTGTTATATGCCGTCAAGTCGGACTCAACTCATAGTGACCCCTCCTTGGGTTTCCGAGGCAGTATCCCTATGGAAGTAGATTGCCCCATTTTCCTTCCTAGGAGTGGCTGATGGGTTTGAACCAACAGCCTTCTGGTTAGCAGTCAAGTGTCTTAGGCACTACGCTACCAGAGCTCCTCTGTAGTGATACCCCCTTGGAAACCCAAGGAGGGATTGCTATGAGTCGGATTCGACTCAACGGCAGTGTGTTTGGTTTTAGTTTGGTTATTGGCTAAATATGGCATTCCTTTGAGTTATTTTAAGTAGTTTCAAAGTTGAATGCACACATTGCATTCTGTCAGATTACAAGCTGTCCTATCAATTATTTAAAGAGAAAGCTCCTTTTTGTTTTGGTTGGCTGATATCAACAAGAAACAAGTCACCACAGGTAGGCAGAATTTCTGTCTCCCTGATGACCTTGGATCCTGAGGATAGAACACTAGGACTTCTGGCTTCTATGATTCTTCCTTGAAAGGGAGCAGAGAAATAGAGACTGACAAGAACTTCTAAACAAGAGGGAGTCAAAACATATGTGCCAAATGCAGCTATGCTGCTTTCCTAGGTAAGCTACATCTTTAATGAGATTGGCTCATGTAAATTTTACTTCCAAAATGCTATGTCCCTTCTTTAAGAGAGAGACTAAGGTCCTGATTTTTTTTTTTTTTTCACATTCCACTTCTGTGTTAAAAATATTTCTTATCTGTTCTACTTCATGGAAACTAGATATAGATTTCAGGCTCTTGAGAAAATGTGGTATCTACTCTTTGCCACACAACAGATGAATTTTAATATTTAATTTAAATGTTCATATTTAAATGACTCCCCTTGTTTCTTTTGTTCTATAACCCCCACCCACCCACACACATTCACACCAAGATATTGTTGAAACAATAAATAAAACGAAAACCAGCCTAGGAAAATCATTTGTTTCTGGAATTTTCATCAAATACACACATCAGTTTGTTCACATTTAAATTAAAACATCTTAGTTATATTGCAAAGAAATGGTCTATAACTTACCAAAATGTCTCTTCCTTTCCCATTAGAAACTTTATGGCTGAGGGTAGTTCATTTTTTACTATGAAGAGGTAGCTCAGCATTGCTGGCGGAAAATGAGAACATACTTAGAAAGAAGATACTAAGGCTCATATTGCAAGCTATACAAAAGGTTACCAGCCTCATTCTTAGATTAACCTTCAATAAGACCTAAAGACAGCTTTAGACATTCTTGCAGTATCACTGGTTTTAAATAAGTGACTAACTAACCTGTGCCGTAAGGAGCCCTAGTGGCATAGTGCCTAAGGCATTTGACTGCTAACCAGAAGGTTGGCAGTTCAAACCCACCAGTTGCTCCATGGAAGGAAGACAGGGCGATCTACTTCTGTAAAGATTTATCACCTTGGAAACCCAAAGGGGGTTGCTATGAGTCAGAATTGACTGGACAGTAGTGAGTTTGGCTTTACTTTCTATGAAAATAACTTTACTTTCCACGAGAATAATGTCTTGAATTGTTAAAATTCATGTGGCCACCCAGTCACCAGAATAAGAAAAAATAATGTTCACCTACTTTAGGAATATGTATAGAAAAGCATGTTCTTTTTACCTCCAGTATTCTGTAGAGAGGTGGCTCCAAAGATTACCAGCTTTCCTGTAGTGCCAAAGACTTGTTCCCCAAGTTTTTCATAAACCATACAGCCTATCAAAAATCAAATTTGAGAATACAAGAAATGATCAGGTTCTAAAAATTAAAATAGCTAAGAATCTTAGACTATTAAAATAGCTCTTAATTCTTCGACTATTCTTCAGGTCAATTTGTACCTTTTCTCAAAATCACACAAATTGCCTTCTTGGCATTGCAAGGGTTAAGGTAAAATAACCTCTTGCCATTTAAAAATGTCAGACATGACCACCATTTCTCCTTTTAAAGTTGGCTACAAAAGCAGTACAATTAAACTCTTAGGTCACAAGACTTATTTTTCACCAGCTCAAATAATCTTCCCACTTTACTGGGGGGAAAGTCCCACTGAGGTCTTATTCTCAGGTCTGGTTTGTACCATTAAAATGAAGATCTGATTTTTAAAAATATATCCTGATAGTTAGAGACTGAAAGGTTACTCTTGAGTTAATTACCTGAACAGATTAGGGTAACAAAGAATAACATTTCATCAATATCTCATATCCTAAGTATAATAAAAAGCTAATAGTTACACAATAGAATTCTTCTGATCATTTGTAAAATTTAGTTCAAGGATATGCAACTCACAAAAGAAAAAGAAACAGATCTGTCAAAAGAAAACTTTGTATCAAAATTCTAAAGCATTCAAGGAGCTCACCTCAACAAATACTAAAAGTCTGACCTATTCTTTTTTATAAAAAAGAAAGTGCTTCTATTTTGTATGATATTAATTTACTAGCTCATGCTTTCAAAGGTTCACGGAAAGCAATATGACTCGGGCTATAATTAAACCTCTGTTTAATCTGATGTTTAAATTAGACAATGGTTAGACCTTCAATCTATTACAAAATGTTCTGGTTAAATGCAGTTATGTATACGTACAATAATAGTTGCCCAATGTGGTTTGAGCTAATGTAAAAGTCAAAGTATTACAAACTTAATCCAGTATCCCAGGAACGGAAAATAAACACTTCAAGTATTACACTGCCCAGAGTACTTGAAGTTTGTTCATAGTGTGCTCACACGGCCTCAAGAGAAACATTTTCTCCTTGGAATACATACAAAAGAGAATGAGAGGTCTGTTTACTTTAAAACCTTGGAGGCTATAATATAAAAACATGAGATCTTTACTCTGAATTTGTAGACACTGAAGGAAAAAGTGAAGCCTTTAAAATGAAGTCATTTAAAACTAGAAGAATAGGTATAATTGAAGGTCTGCTAATTTTTTTTTTTTTTTTTGCTGTATCTGTTTTCCTTAGGTGAGCATCACAATAGGACTTCCAGTTACTATAGGTCAAAGTACTCATTCAGTTTATATAATCAAGTTGCTGAGTAGGGAGGGCATCATTTGTTCACAATATTCATGAAAATCATTCACCCTGGGCCTTAACAAAATTAGATATATCCTCAGCTTACCTGTTTCCTTTGAACAGATCAAGAGAAGATTTATTGAATAAATAGATAGCAATGTCACTGAAGTCAAAAGTATCCTAAAGCAAAGAAAATAAGTAGTGTTATAACTAAAAAAGAACACAAACTGGTCTTATGTTCAGAAGGGCAAAGGTTTATTTATATGGTTAACATTTTTTGTTAATAGTATTCAAAATTTGGAACCTATTAGTCACCTTCTCTTTAAAACCCTCATTAAAAAAAAAGGCCTACCAAATAAAGAAGTATTCATTAGAATCTGAGTAACTCTAGTAGTTCAAATCCCTTAAGTAATTCAAAGTTCAAATGGCTTTCCTCTGCTCTCTGGGACCATTTCCGTCAAGATGACTTTAAAACAACATCAAAGAAAGCTATTTGTATCCTATGGTGTACTACTTCTTTCTAAGTATGTTCTCGTGATGAGAGAGGGTGAGAAATGGATGTGGGGATGGAATCTGAAGAGAAAGGCTTGCAGAGGCTGCCTAGGACTGTGACTATGTGACTTTGGACAACTTGCATAATTTTTCTGGATTCCTTCTTCACCCTTAAGATAAAGACACAAACAAAACGATGCCCAAGATTCTTCCATCTAACACTTTCTGGCTATTTTTGAATCGCTCATTGGACCACTGAGATCATTCACATTTCTTTGCACCTGGTTCTTCTTGAAAGAATAAGTGTCTTAACTGTGGGGGAGTTTTGACAATCAAGCATAGTGAAAAGATCTTGAATGACAAACTCTTGTGTTTGTTTTAGTACATCTGGCTCATTATCAAGCCCTCCTCAAGAAAAAGCACAGTTAAAATAATATGAGAGAGTACAGAGATTATTTCTGAATCATTTGGTTAAAACAGACTTAGTATTTGAAAATAAAGCCTATTTATTAAAAAGAAAAAAGATTCTAGTCACCAAATGAAACCACTCACTTCCTGATGTAGGGAAATACATCCCTGGAACAATACATTACCACAATTGATTCCACATTTGAGTAATTAAAGGCACTTATTTTTCTAGCAAGTGCTGGTGACACACTTGGCATGTCATGTGGTTCTGTGTGGGCTGTCTACCCTCAGGCTCTCCTCTGATCCTGCACACCATGGCTCTTAGACCCAGCTCAGGTATCACTTCCCTTGCCCCCAGGCAGAATGGCTGTTCCTTAGCTTTCTCATGTTCCTTGGCGTTTTGTTTCTCCTTCATGCAGGGCAGCCATGAGGACATAAATGAGGAGCACAGAATGGTCAGTGGTGGAGCAGATGGACTACCAGAGGTTGGGCAGAAAACATAAAAGAGAGATGGAGCTCAGCAGAGCAAACACTGGATGAAGGCCAAACTGACCTGCCAATAAAGGGAAATTTAGCTCAAGATATCACTGTAAGGAAGCACATTCAGATACATATTTACATAGCTAAAATCCTTGAATGAGGAGGGTCATTAAGAGGGGAACTCTGATTATCTATTCTGGTTGAGAAAACTGAGAATAAGCATTTATTAACCAACCTAATAGTTCTGAGATAGCTAATGGAACATGATTTGATATGCTCTGTTGAAGAGTAATATTTGGGTCATAATTTTTCTCATCTTAGAAGATAAATGATACTCACATTGAAAAAGTGAGCACTGAGTTTCACTCAAGAGTTTACTCGTAATATTCAGGATATGGAACACTAAACGGCAACTTGTACTTGTGCCTGTGATGTGTGGTAGAGGAGTTCTGTCTGGCATGGAATTGCATAGGCTTTCCAGTTGGGGATGGGATGGATGCCATTTTAGGACTAGTTGTAACTATTCTGGAATGACCCTGTATTGTTGGGTCTACTTTCCTGAAAGACCTGGAGAGAAGAGGGGATATTACTATTGGGCCAAGAAGGCTTAAGTATTAAAGGGTATGACCTTACAGAAATTATGTACCTGGCAAGTGGGATAATTACTTACATCTACATAGTGATTTACCAAAGGCCCCAAGCCTGGTGTATGAGGTACCTGTCAGCATAAGAAACATTCTAAGGAACTATGCATCACATTCCCCTGGAACCCCATGGCTCTATACACATGGCTGCCCCATAACATATTCTATGGGTTAAATCTCTGTAGATGATGCTCAGGTTGTCTTTGGTGCTTGATGAAGATGTAAGAGATTTTTTCATAAACTCCTGTCCCCTCAGGCAGAAAAGTGCTGACCAGGGAAGATTTTAGCTGAGGGCTCACCTGTCTTTATCTTCACAACTCAGAACAAAATAAGGTGCTCCCATAGTGATGAAAACAACCCCTTTGCTGCCATGAGACACTAACATTTCACCCTATAGGAAAGGATTCTGTATGAGCCTAATAACATTTGCCTTTAACCATACAGTCTCTGAAGAGTCTCTCCTCCATGCCTCCTAAAATACAGAACTTTTCCCTCAAAGATGGAAAACAGAATATTTTTTTACCTATCAGGTCACCAAGAGGCAAATTACAGTATGTAAAATTCTAAGAATGTTTTAGGCTATAACAGAATCTGGCATTGATGAGACTGAAATTTAGAAAAGTACACCTCCTTGTTCAGATTTTAGAAAGAAGCAATATGTGACTGTGATAGTTATGGTTGTATGTCAATTTGGCTGGGCCTGGTTGACTGGCTGGGCAGCTGGTGGTAGTCATTCCCCATGATGAGAATGGCAATCATTTCCATGGTGGGATCTACCATAAGCAGCTGAGTAGCTGCTTTAGGGACGTGGTCTGCTTCCCATATATAAGCAGCAGCTTTGGGAATGGTCTCTAGCTTGTGGCACACTTGAACCCTGCATGTAGCTCTGTCATTGTTCAGTAGCCTGCCATGCTCTGCCAACTTGGGACTTTCAATGGACTTGAATTAATGGCCTGTCATGTGGTGTGATAACTTCAGGACTGGGCCTTTTTACTTGTCAAACTTGGGCTTGTCAGTCTCAGCAGCCAGCAGCTGTCTGAGTGAAGAAACACCTCTAGCTCCAGTGGGCCAGGCTGAAGCCCAGGGCTGAGGGGCTTTCATCCAGCCCCTAGAGCCTGGCACTTTGAACTCGGATGTAAAGCCTCCTAACTGTTAGAGAATAAACTCCTGTTTGTTCAGGCATCCCATCTGTGGTATACTCCTGTCAGAGCAGCACTACGTAACCATAACAGTGGCCTAACTGGCTATAGTAGATCCTGGAATAGTTCATGAGGATCAAATCAGAGATGCCTTGAGATGCAGAAAGCATAAGAAAGGAACAAAGAGATGATGAGAGAACATAATGACTTATTTGAACATTTGCTCAGTTTTGAACATGACTATGCCCCTATTTGAAAAAAGAGATTTGTACACATAATTGTGGTTTCCTGGAAGAGAAACACAAACTAGTATTCCAGTGCCAACAAAGAGAAATACAGATGAATCCTGATTTCCGTCAAGAAATCATTTAAGCTTCCACACTGCTAAACACTGACCAAAAGTTTTAATATGAGTGGGGAAAAAACTGATTTTTCAGATGGAAACTAAACCTCAGCTTATCTGGGAGCAGAGTACTAGGTAAGTGGGTTGTCAGGGCATTGTATTCAGCCTCAAAGAGAAGGGGAGGATCTAGAACACTGTTCTGGTTCCCTAGTGCCGCTCTGACAAGAAATATACCACCAATGGCATGGCCTTAACAAACAGGAGTTTGTCCTTACAATTTGGAGGCTTTAAGTCCAAGTTCAAAGTGCCAGGCTCTAGGGGCTGGGTGAAAGCCCCTTGACCATGGGGTCCAGCTCTGCCTCCTGCTCCCAGCCCAATGGAACTAGAGGCGTTTCTTCACTCAGACAGCTGCTGAGGCTGAGAAGCCCCAAGGTTGACAAGAAGGCACAGTCCCGATGTTACCAAACCACACGGCAGGCCATTAACTTAAGTTCATTTTAAGTCCCAAGGTTGGCAGAGCATAGCAGGCTGCTGAGCAACGACACAACTACAAGCAGGGTCCAAGAGTGCCATAGACTAGAGAGCATTCTCAAAGCTTCTCCTTATATACAGGAAGCAGACCACATACCCAAAGGCAGCTACTCAGCTGCTCCCAGTAGATTCCACCATGGAGTTGATTACCAGTCTCATCATGGGGAATACTACATCCAGCTGCCCAGCCACTCAAGTCAAGTTGACATACAAACATAACCATCACAAACATTTAACTGTAAATGGGCTGGAGGGAAGAGGTGTTGGGAGAACTAGTCTGGTGAAGAATGTGGTCAGGAACTTTTGAGAACCTATGTGGCAATAATTCCTTGAAAGGTGTGGTGCAGGGACACCCCAGAAGATTTTGTGTCACATCTGCTTTCTAAGAAGAATGAAGTTTGCTAGGAAACTTAGTATTATAGACTACTGGACCAAGAGACTAGGAGAAAACCATGAGAAAGCATCCCGTCCAGCTTTTCATTTAATACAAGAAACCTCTATGTTCCATGCCAACATGTAACCAGGTAGGTTCTGAAAAGTGTCAACTGACAAAGAATATAATATGCAGTCCATTCTGTTTCTGGAAAGTTCTGTGTTTTAGAACTGTGGCTGAGCTAAGTTGCTGCTTCTACTTCTACCCTTTTTCCCTCCAGACCTCCTAGAATCTATCTGAAATCTAAGCCTCCCTCCAACAATCCTTTTGATGGTACTCATTTTAAGATTGTGCTCCTTGTTTTAAACCTCTCCAATTCTTTTAGCTATTTATCCTGTGATGCATTTTTACGTTGTTGATACCTTGGTCATGTTCCAATTCTCAGCCATTCTTTCTAAAGGTTATGTGTCAAGGCAATTCTGTAACATAAGATTTGTTCCAACCAGTGCAAAGCATGGTTGTTGTTAGGTACTTTGAGTCAGCTCCTACTTACAGCGACCCTCTGTACAACAGAAGGAAACACTGCCTGGTCCTGCACCATGCTCACAGTCATTGCTATGTGTGAGCCCATTATTGCAGCCACTGTGTCAATCCATTTCATTGTGGGTCTTTCTCTTTTTCGTGATCCTCTACCAAGGGCAGTGTCCTTCTCCAATGACTAGTCCCTCTGATTACATATCCCAAGTACATGAGATGAACTCTCCATCCTT